ACACACACACACACACTCTGTTTTCTGGGTGGAGAGTCAAATAAAACAAACAGAGCTCAGCTGAAGCTACAGAGCTGTTCTCGCTGTGCTGAGCCATAAAGAAGTGGTTAAGCAGCTACTGTTTGCTGCCTCAAGTCATCCACCATTAGTTTTTAATGAATTGATTGATATTGCTGTGGGCACCAACAGGGGGACAGGCTGTGGGTGTGTTTGAGACCAGCTCTGGTCTCTGAAGCATGACATTTACTTGTGAATGTATTTAAACTGTAGAGCTAAAAGGATTCTAAAGTGGATTTATCAGCTTTTATAGTTCTATAGCTTATATTTGATCCTTATTTTCAGTCCTCGTACATGCAGAAACATCCAGTGCAGCATTTCTCTGTTTGATAAAGAGAAAAGTATCTTTCAGTTAGTTAATTGTTGCCTTCAGCTTTAGGAAGCCGCAGATGACGGAGGCTGTGAGGACCCAGCTGCTGTGCTTCATGACTCAGAAGGTGCTGGAAACAACTGGTTTCCCTCTGGATTCTCTCCTCTTTCTATCACTTCATGTGTCATTTTTCTCTCTCCCATCTCTTTCTCTCACCCACTTCCAATTATAGCTCAGCCTCATGCCGGTTATCCCAAGACAAAATGAGGAGGAGAGCTGATTTAATTTAGCTGCAGCTATTAAGTGAGACGGAGCTTTCTCCCAGTTTGGAGAAGGTCTGGAAACAAAGAGCCTGAATGTTTCGGTCTGACTGGAGCTTGTGAACGGGTGTGTCAGCTGAATCGGTTCCCGTTGTGTTAGATTACCGCTCTAACACCCAGTTTGACACGTATGCAAACTTCAGTTCAACTGTTGTGTCAGTGCGGTCCAATGAGGCTGCTTTTAATCATACTTTAATCATTTTTCTTTGGATCCCCTGACGGAGCTGGACGGATGCCCACATGAGTCACATCACGCTCTGCAGCCGTGTGATCATCTGATGTTCTGCTCTCGGTCCAGAGGTGGACTGGGTGTGTGCAGAGGTGGGGTTTTCCCCGGTGGCCGGTTCAGAAACACAGAAAATGAAACAAATGTGCTGTTTGATCCAGAATCAGACTGACCGGCTCCATCCGGGTTCACAACATGCTGCCTTTCGTACACTGGGCTGACTTTACAAACATGGTGCTGCTTTCAGGTGCTAGTCAGCAGAATTACAGGTTGTTTTCTCACCCATCGGTTTGTGGAGAACAGTTTTGAAGCATCGAGTTTTGGCGTTATTGTATATGTTTGTTTTAGCAGCCAGCAGAGGTCACGTACTGCGAGTTGAGCTGCTCTCATTGGCTGCTCGCCTGCTCACACAGGATCTGGTATTAAACAGTAAACAGTAAAATGTGTTTGTGAACAGATTTGAGGAGAGAAATAGTCAACAACAGAATCTGGATCCATATCTGATCAGCACTGTTATGACACGTTTGATCTGAGTTGGTGCGTTTGAGAGCTGGACGCCGACTCCACTGAGAATGACGGCTGTGCAAGCTCAGCCCCAAGGTAGCGCGGCGCCCCCTACCCCAAGGCTCCGCGCTGCTTTATGGTCTGTTTGAGGCTCCTAACTAGGGAGCCATCAGCTTCTAAATGAGACATGCCATGGCTGTATGGAAGAAGGACTGAGAAAGCTAGAGGACCAGAGCAGCAAAGCTCATCAGGCAAACGTTTAAAACTGAGTCTGTGTGTTTTAAATGGAACTGGGCAATTCATTGAAATATTATCTGAATCACAAGAAGCTGCAATTGTTTGTTAAACTGTAAACTGAAGCTCTGACCTACAAATCTTATATGAGAAAATGTTTCTTTGGTCCTACAGACCCCAACAGATGTCACATCATCATTATTTTAGTAGTTTTTTTTTAGTGAAAATGAAAATTGTGATGCAAAAATAATCATTCCCACAAATCGTGAATTATGTTGCAATATCTGACAAAATAAGGTCAATTAGCTTTTTTTTACCACATCGTTCAGCCCAAATGAAGTATTCCTAAAAACAAAAACCTCCCACCCACCAGTCACAGTGAAGTGAGGGTCTCTGTGGGTGTGTCGGCGGTGGCGGGGTCAGCCTGGGTCACATTTCCAGGACCATTTATTTATTTTCTTCATCCCGGTTGACCACTGAGAGTCAGCACGGTAGGTCCTCGAACCCACCGTGCCGTCCCCCCCCAGTAAACTGTGTGTGTGTGTGTGTGTGTGTGTGTGTGCGCTTTGTGACAGTACACTGTAAATAGAGCACACACACATGAATATTCAAACACACACACACACACACACACACTCAATCATCAGTGCTTTTTAATCATGTACCATGAAGTAGAGGTCCTCAGGTGAGAAGGCTCCCTGACTCCTGCCACCATGCTCAGTTTCTTGTTCTAACAAGATGCATTTAATGTTACAATGTAACAACGTATAGAAGGTTCTCCTTATAACAGCAGCAGGATAATGTCCTTGTTTTTAATTCATTTTGCATAATCATTAGAGTGGCATGTTCTTATAACAAAGGTTCATTTTTAAAACATATGTACAAAAATATTTAATGATAATAAATATCATTAATCCGATCTTATAATAAGAAACAACAAGGAAATGATTTTCTTTGTCCAGTTTGCTGTCGGTTTTGTTTTTTGTTACTGGACGGAAAAATGAGCTTCTGTTGTTTCCATAGCGTCTGCCAGAGGCATCCAACATCATAGCCCTCTGTTTACCGTTTAAAACCCAGGGTTTGAGAAGGAATACCATATGTCCTTGTGCTTTCCTTTATAAAGACTCAGCATTAAGGCTGGCCAGGACTGAGGGACACCAGGATAACTGGATCCGTTTCTTGTGTTTTCATGGGGTCATGTTTGTCTGAGGACCTCTACCATGGAGGAGCTAGAGTGTACAGTCTTTTTCAAACAAGTTGATTTCACTGACGAGTTCATATTCTCCGCTTGATGATGAGTTTATCAGTGAATTCACCCAGTGTGGATCCCAAAGCTCTTTTTTTTTCCCACGACTCAGAACCCAGAGCTCGCCCCACCACCCTGAAGACTATTTTTATACTGGAAAAACAAACAAGCTGCTTCACTGTTTCCTTAATAGCAACTTAAAGAGCAACCTCTTCCCAGCTGTATGTAGAGGCTCATAATGAGGGCACGATGGAAGTTTTCTTTCACCAATGTTGGTTAATGTGAGATCAAGTGTCCACATGGCCTCCACTTTCTCTTGCTCTCGTCCCTCTGTGTCTTTAAAGCTACCTCCAGGTAGGAGCCGTGTTAGTGGAGGAAGGTAACGCAATATCAAGTGGAGAGAAAAAGTATCACTACCATTTTTATAATCCTCAAATTCTGAAAGTGCTTGAGGCATCAAATCATGCTATGCACATACAGCATTACAAATCTGAACATCATGATGAATATTTTAGGATAGAATATACAGTATATATCAGTGGTATCAGACCGCCCTGAAGCATGTGTGTGCAGGTTATTTTCCAAAGTGTCAGCAGGTCAATGTCCTACTAGAACTAGAGACGAAGAATTAGTCAGCTGCTGAATCCCAAATTCACTTCTCTTTTCCTCCACTCCCTCCTGTCAGTGACTAACCTGGGCTGGGTTCAGTCTGAGCCATTACTCACACTGTACATGCAGCAGCAAAACATATGTCATTCTCTGGTTAGGATAACGGTGAGGGCTCCTAAGTGGAGGAAAAATTTAGTGAACTTTGGAGTTTTGGGATCCACCCCGACAGCCACACAGAGATTAGCTGTGTGCTGTAATACGCTGTCCCACCACTGAGTGGTGCTACAGAGTCATGTACCTGGTGTTGTTCTCAGCTTGTAGTCATAGAACATTTGGCTGATTGATGATCTCACAGGGCTCGAACTGTACCTCCAGCTCTCACTTTAATTCTGCAATCAATTATTATTTATCATCTTTTTCATGATCGTACAGATGATTTCTGAGAGCAGGTTAGAAACTGACTAGTGATGTCTTTTCATTTCTGTGAATTTTAAAGGAAAAGTGCAACGGATCTGGCCTTAATAGATATGATGATGACATTCAGTTATCTGTCCTTGTGGTTGTTGATTGTTTAACAGTTGTCTGCTATAGCATAATGACTCATCCACCTACAGTAGCCAGAGAGAAAAGACAAAACCTTTACATTTATAATAAACGTGGAGATATACGGAGGGGGAAAGGCCAGTGTCAAACTATAACCAGAGGAATGGAATTTTAGAAAAAGGTTCAGTTCTGTACTGTAACGAACCTGTGAATTGTATTTTGCAACTTGCATCACAGCCGGTTGCGGCTTCCCCTATTTGCACATTCAGTGAGAAATCCCCTGTATAACGTGACCTGAAAGGAACGCAGAGGAGTATTGGCTCAGTGTGGGGACGGACAAACAGTTGCATGTCCAGACTCTGAATTGTACTGGGAGTCAGAGCCACTGAGGATACAGTCCTGATAAGCCTTATGAGCTACTATAGAATCAGTCAAGCACTTTTTAGCATTTTCATAATTTATTTCTTGCCAGTTCTGAGCCCCAACAGACATTAGCTAATGAACTGTAACAGAGAATGTGTTGTTCAATATGTAACTGACAGAAAATCCTAACAAATATTCCTTTTCTGTAAAACTGTGTAAAAAACAAATTAAGAGTGAAAATCTTTGAATACCAATCATTCTCTTGTACTTATTGCATTTTTTGTTATTGTGTTTGAAGCTAATCCAAATTTTTAAGTAAAAATTCTGCCGTCTAATCAGTCTGAAGAGTGTCCTATTCTACTTCTTTTTCCAATGCAAATCTGTCAAACATGGAGCATAGTGAAAGTTCTGTCAACAAAGGGTAGTTTGTTCATCTAGACTGATGATTGTGGTGGTCCAGTTATCCACAGCAGATAGGTGATTAAAGGGGCACTTAAGGATTGTTCATGTAAAAGTCAGTTTACTTGTTTGTAGTATAACTCAGTAGGGCTGTGTGTATCACAATGCAGCGGTTACACTACAATTCAAAATATTGCCAATATAGCCTTTGGTTTATGTTTGTAACATTGCTATCTAGTGGTTCAGTATTGTTTTTGAGAATTGATACAACATCACAAAGCAAAATATTGATTCAATATTTTCTGACACCCCAATTACTCAGCTACTCGACTACTTTTAACATTTATGTAGTCGGCCTCTCCCTTGCTTTATGCAAGTATATTAATAAATAGCTTGAGTGCCCCTTTAAAACGTAGATGATCAGTGATTTTCTCCTGTGTGAGGAATGTCAGCTGTGGATCACATTAACCAGGGAGAAGTTCCCTACATAGTTCATTGAGGAAGAATAATAGGCCTTTTTCATAGTTTAGAAATGCCACTGCTATTGTCCATGCTGACTCACAGTCATACTACAGGCTGCTGGGACACTGGAACAGAGCCATCATTGGTTTTATGAGTTTCTTGCTTTGACAAGTTCAAATTTGAGCTGTGAAAATGGTGTATAGAGGGACAGATGAGGAGCAAAATGAGGAGTAATGAATATGGAAGTCTTTCTTGTTGAACTAAGCTCCATGTTTGTTCATGTACAGTAAGTGTCATCAGTCTTTTTACCCTTAATGGGATCCAATTGCAAACAGTAAACATTCTAACAGAGTATAACCCTGTTAGAATGTTTACAACACCACAACACCATGTGTAAGAGTCAAATAATAAATAGTTATTACACATTCATACAAAATATGAACATACAGTCTATACTAAGGTTCATGAAGAAGGAAGTCATCAATTTGTTTTCTTCCTGTTCATCTGTGCTTCCACTTCCTCTTTTCTGTAAAACTGCCAAACATTTGTCAAAGTTTCAGGTAAACATCCCCTACATGAAACATGACACACATGACACAATGGCTGTACAGTATTTCCATTAAAGCACAACAGTTTCACACACAGTGAATATGCAATACATATTTTATACCCAACACGCACATTACACACGAGTGCCCAGTCAGTGGAACCGCAGCCTGTTCTCTGCCACAAACTCTTTCTGTTCCTCTTCAGAGAGCTGGTTTCCTTTCACACTGTAGAAACATGACCAGACACCATCAGACATCTCTTCACATTCCAAATGTTAAGTACTTGGGCTTTCCAGTGCTCCACATAATCTACACTATACCTTTGGTTCTGGAAGTATTCCAACCATCCTCAATGTTACTTAACATAGAAACACAGGCCCTTCCTGGACAGTGGTTATGGGTAATGCTTTATTTCTAATCTTTAACATTCATGCACCGTTGGCAGAAGCAGGATTTATTTTATTTTTTTTAAACTGAGAATTTACTGAAATCTATCATTGATGATTGATAGATAAATAGAAATATCTGTGATAATAGAACCATACAGAGGCCATCAGAGAACAGCGGTTAATGAATTCTACTGGATCCTCACCATATCTCTTTGAGTGCTGTGTTGTGAGCGAGGGCCTCAGCGAGGTGTTTGATCCCGTCCACAGTGAACTGGTTGCTGATTAACCTGCAGACAAATACAGAGCAGGTGAGTTTCAGACGATCAATGTCTGACTACACAGGTCTGTCCAAGGTGACATCATGCGTGTTTCCCTTACCAGAGGTGGCTTAAACCTGTGTTTGCTCGGACCAACTCAGCCAAGTGTGGAGCTGCATCATCAGTCATCTCATTCTGCACTAACCTGCAACAGCACAGACAGGTTCTTAGTGTACATACAGAGTGTAGGACTGTTGGAACACAAGGATCCACTGGGTTCAGTGACCTGCCTACCAGAATATCCTGAGGACGCTGTTCTCTTTCAGGGCTTCTGCCAGGCACTTCCCACCTTTGGATGTGATCACATTGGCTGAGAGACTAGAACACAGAACCACAGAGATGACTCTACTAAATGAGTTCAAATCAGTAGGTGTTTATTGCGTTTGTAGTCAGCCGCCCTCTCACCTGAGGTTGGTAAGACTCGGGTGGTGCCTCAAAGCTTCTGCAAATGCTTCTGCTCCCTCATCGCCGATACTGTTCCCCCACATTCTGCAAGCAAAAACATCCAGACTGTCATCCAGGCTGCATCGGGAAGCATACAAACACAAAGGGGACCAACAGGGCCTCCAACAGGACCAACAGTGCCTCCAAGAGAAAAAGTATTGTTCTAATTTCAAGTTTCAAGAAATCTAATTCCCCTTTTTAAAAAACTAATGAAAATTAACATGTCAAACCATGTTTGATTTGCCAGTGGTTTTATTTATCACACTAAAAAGGGTCACTGCATTATGAGTACTTTTTACGTTTGATTATTTAAAAAGTTAAACTTTAAATGCAGGACTTTGCAGTGTTGCTACTCTACTGGGATGTGAATACTTCTTCCACCACTGCATTTTAATCATGATTTGTTGGTTTTTTTCAAGATAATGAAGCTATTTTTTGTTACCATCTGAAACCTTTCTCCAGTAATCCTGCCTGGCTTCTCCAGTTGATGTCCCTTGTTTTTGTCTTTCCATCTCACTGCTTTCGTGAGTACAGCGGAATAAGGATCAGTTTACAGCAGTGAAGTCTTACCCCACATCAAATATAGAAGTGCTCTTCTGAATTGCGCTGGCCAAATACTTCCCACCAACAGCAGAGATCTTGTTTTTACCAATTCTGAGGACAAGATAATACGTCTCTTAAATGACTGGCGATAACACTGACATATTAAATATACAACTATTATAATGATCATAATATTCAAATTTTTTAATTTTAAAGTTAGAAACATACTTGACAACCCGCAGCTTTGGGCATTCCTCGATTATCTGAGCAACTAGCTTGGCTCCAACATCTGTGATGTGATTGTTGTAAAGCCTGAGGGCAAAAACAGAAAATATTTCACTCTCAGAAAAACATACTTTACTGAGCACTAATGTTATAAGGAGTTCGGTCTAGACCTGCTCTATTTATAAAGTGTCCTGAGATAACTTCTGTTATGAACTGGCGATATACAAATAAAACTGGATTGAATTGAATTAATGCTACCTTTACTTGCTGGGGATTTTTTTTACTTCTACAGTTTGTATAACCAAAAATTAAATCATATATCCAAAGAGGCCAGAATGTAGCTTTGAATAAATATGCGTGAACTACTTGTCACATTTCAGATATCTGACTCAGCAAGAGGTATTTCCCAAAGATTACAAAGTCCATCAAAGAAATACAGCGGCAGAACTCTTTTCTACTGCATCCTCTCACAACCCCTCAGATTTATCCTGTGACCATTTGGAGTGCCCCGTCCCCTACGTTGGGAACCACTGGAATAAACTTTATATAAAAAGTAGTTAAAACTACAGCTCCAATTCAAGCAGCTACAACATTAAAATGCTGCTAACACATTGATGAATCAGTATTAACAATCTAATCATTTTATATATATTGATACTCAGTCAGTATCATTATATCTTTGATACTTTAACGCAGAACAAAGGGTTCTTAGATTGTTTCACTGCTACTTTTACTTGAGCAAACAATCTAAATACTTCTTTATCTTGAGAATGGGATGGAATGCAGACTATTTGGTTTCAAATACACTGAAACAATTACTCACCCCAAGACCTTCACAATTTTGTGCTTACACAGCTCCTCTGCAAGAACCTCAATGCTGCTGTCAGACAGCTGATTTACGCACAATCTGAAGACAAGAAGTGTGATTAGTGTTGGATAGTCAAGCTGTATACATTATAAAATGAGTCTGAATATTAGTAAAAGTTAAAACCATGTTTAGACTTACCTCACTACTGTCATCTTACAAAAGGAGGGCTTCAGCTGCTTCACCCCATAGTCACTGATGTTGTTGTTGTCCATGTCAAGCCCCAGGAGCTTCTGACGGTGCTGCAGTACAAAGTTCAGGGCAGTGCAGTCACCTGAGAACACGTTACAGTAACCCAGCTTGATTAATCCAGCAGTGATGCCTTTTGCCGTCATCTGAGCGATGTCTTTGCTCCCTGTCTCAAAGATGCACCTCAGCATCCACAGGAAGTTGGGTAAAACGTGGACTTTCTTGCCCTCCTCACCATTGTAGCTGGGTAACCCATGGAGGTGGGACTTCACACTGGTGGAAAGGTAGGATTTTAGCAAGGCCCGTTTTTTCTTTAATAAGACAGGAGATACCATATGCTCCATCAGGCTGGTGTGAGCCTTGGACAGCAGTCCACTCAAGAACAGATTAGTGAACTGAAGGTGTTCATTAGTGTCAAATGGCTTCTTTTCACTGGGCTTTGAGGAGCCATTGATACAGAAGTCAAAAGGCAGACAGGACGGTTGTCTTTTCCTGCTGCACTCTGTGAAGAACTTGAGGATGGAGTTGGCGGCGTCCTGCTGATCCAACACAAGAGCGAATGCTGCCAGGAAAGACTGGAGGGTGATGTGGAGGAATTCAAATGTAGCAGGGCTTCCACTGGTATCATACTCATTGGTGGGTCGAAGAAAGCCCAGAGTCAGGTCCTCCTCCGTCAGCCCACACTCAGTGATCTCTTCCTGGCTGCAAATGAAGCTTCCTCTCTCCATACCCTGGAGTGCTAGTTTGGCAAATGCCGCGAGAGGCCTGAGCCCCCGTTTGAATGTCTCCGAAGCACACCGAGTGCTCTTCTTCAGCAGGGATGGTGCAGGTGAGGCTGAGCGGCTGAGGAACACCTCGGACAGCAGGAGGAAGATGTCGGTGAGTGTGATGCAGGTTTCAGGTAGATAAAAACTATCATGCATGGTGTGCAGGTGCCTAAAACTCTTGAATACGATCCAGCAGAACAGAGGGGTGGAGCACAGACCGCAGAGGTGGGGGCTGGCATCCAGCTGAACTGACACCAGCTCTCGGTGCTCCTGCTCCTTAAAGTGCAGATTGATGTAGGTCTTCAGATGAGCAGGGGAGAACCCCCGCAGAGCCACCTTCTTTCTGATCACCCTACTCTGGAGCTCCACCCCTGTCCGGGCCGTCAGCACCTTTTGGGAGCCCTTGAGTAGTTTCCCACATAGCAAGCTGATGAGCAGCTGGAGGGGATGTGTCTTGTCTTCTGGTGAGACCACTTCAGGTACATTGATCATGTCTAGATCCTCCTGGATCTCATCGTAGCCATCAAATGTAAAAACAACCTTCTCAGGGAAGCGCAGGATGTAATCAAACACCTCGTTATCAGGATCGTGATCTGGGTAGCAGCTGTACTTGAACAAAAGGTCTCTGAGGGAGATCTGTTCTGTGTCCTTGAAGATTCTGAACATCCTACAGCGGAACTTGAAGAAGAAGATGGCGTCTGTCTGCAGCCCTTTCTTGGACCAGAGGTTCTGGAGTTTCTGCAGTAGGATGGATTTTCCCACACCTGCATCCCCCATCACAAAGATGGTTTCACCTTCAGGGTTGAAGACCGCGTTGTCTCCTAGGAGCTGGTCCAGACTCTCCAAGAAGCCCAGACTTTCATTGCAGTCGTTCAACAGTTCCATCAGTGTGTCAGTGTATAGCTCCTCCAGACGGGTCTCCTCTCTCTGGCCGTACGACATGATGAAGCAGGTGTCCCGGCTCATCTCGTGCCTCAACTTCTCACTATACCTGCTGACTTAAAGGGGGTAGTGTGTGGATTACTGCAATGTACAGCACACACTTTGAATGCTATTATTACTGAGAGTTAGGTCTAGTAATTCTGAATTTTCTATTTAGGAGCAGACAAAGTTTATCCAATCCATAAATGGATGTGTTGTTTCTTGGTCCGTTATATTTTATCCTTATATCTGTTGACTTTGCTGCAGACAATCAGGACAAAAAAGTTAAAAGTTAGTGCTAATCATTGATTCTATCCTAGATAAGGGTTTACCCTTCACTGTCTAAGAAGAGCAAAGCACTACACATGTTGAGTAGAGATGTGGGGTTAACGAATATATGGAAGTTCAGAGGGAATATCCTTTTTTTCTCCCACTGTCACAAAATATATTCTAGAATAAATGTATTTTTTAAAGCTAATTCCGTGATAGATAGTGTAGATAATTGTATGATGAAAGTGATATCGCTCACGGATCATACACCAAAAGAATGATTTATTAATACAAATCTCAATACTGAGAGGAGAGGCAGGTGGAGAATGAATACTACATTAATGCTAGATTCATCCTTTAATCCCTCCAGTATTTTAAAACCCTTTAATCTAGATCACAATTATTCAGTTTTTTGTGATCTCTTTTTTGATATACCAGATAAAACAGATCATGTAGCCTTTGTCCTGGTTTTTCAAAGATTTTTCAGACAAGATTTTTCTGATCCAGATAGCACAAGATCAGGATTACAGAATCTGTAATTGGATAGGCCTCCATCAATTGGTCAGAGTATCACATTTCATTAACACAGATGTGAACATGTTGGAAAGTGTAGATCAGTTTGCATATTATTCATATTCACTTATCTGCATTAGCACACAATACAGATAAATTAGCTGGTAGCAGTTAGTTTCGAGGGTAAGTATGTTTGTTTCTATTGTTTGAAAATGTTTAGTTTTAGTTTAGCTTTTATTAGTTTCAGTGTTAGTTTTAGTTTTTTTAAATTATTATATAGGGTATATTTGTCAGGGGCAAGATTTAAGCGGTTCAGAATAGGAATTACTATTACTACTATACACTTTGTGACAGCAGCTGACTCATGTAGACATCCCAGTCTAAATAAACATATGCACCAATGCCTTCTCATGCATGACAGAATTTGACCAAATTGACTAAAACTAAAAAACATTTTTATTTTATTCTTGTTAGTTTCAGTACACAATATTATTTCAACATTTTTATCTGGATTCTGGGTAAAATTGGATTACCGAATCCTTATCCCATTTTTGTACGATTAGGATCACATCTCCTGTTTTGAAATTCTGAGATTTAATCCTATCCGGATACTGATCTAGATTACAAGTTTTAAAATACTGGCCCTGGTCTCCCAGGAGAATAATATGAAGATCTTATAGATATCCTTGCCCCAATATTGCAAAAGGTTTGTCAGCAGATATGTTTCCAAAGGGGTGTATCACCCCAACTTTTGATGAACCCTTAATTTCACTAATTACCAAGCATCAGTCAACACGACCAAGTGGGATTTGTGAAAAATAGATCCTTAACTGATAATATCAGACACTCCAATAACCTAACTTGACGCTGAGCTTTGATAAAGTGGAATGGAATACAGGTGGAATAGAGAACATGAGCTATTGCTTTATGTGGATGATATCCTAGCAGTGATATCTGACCCCATGGTGTCCCTACCACATTTGATGGACATCATCCAATCATTTTCAGAACTATCAGGTTATACTATTAATTGGATAAAACCTGAAGGACTGCCTCTTCATGATAAAAAACTGGGTCCACAAGGGAATAAAATACCTTTCTCAGGACACAGGGGGAACAGCAATGCTACGTTTATACCCACTACAAAAGATTAAAAGAAACTAAAATTGGACTTTAAAAATTATAATGGCTACCCAATTTAACTACGTTATATTAGTATGAGGCTCACTATCAAAATACCATTTTAGCAATTTGATGACATAATAAAACCCTTTCTGTGGAGAGGGGAAAGGCCAAGGATTAAACTGAGTAAATTCAATTCAATTCAATGTTATTTGTATAGCTCCAAATCATAACAGAAGTTATCTCAGAACACTTTTCATACAGAGCACATCTAGACCATACTCCTTCTAAATGATTTAGAGATCCAACAGTTCCCAGTCATGCGCCCATAAGGAGAAAGGAGGGATAAGATTTTGTATCATTTATCTTTTGTAATGGCTACAGAAAAATATTGGGACGTGGCTGAAGATAAAGCAGCCTGATGTATTTTATGTTCACCATTCAATCCTATCAAAGTACTATTCAAACTGCCTGTAATATTACAGACCCAGTTCTTTTACACTCAAGACTAAAATATTCAATCTTACACACAATGTAACCCGTATTGGAAGAAATACTGGAAAGGAAGTGGCATTCCTATTGTTTAAGCACTATTGTCAATCTATTTGAGGAACACACCCTTCCTGTCATATACAGCGATTTAACCTTTTCATTTTATTGAGAGTTTTCACCGTTTCATCAATCAAACGCAACTGTAGCAAGTAACAACAGTTCTCACTCTTCAAATGGTCATTTTCCCCCATTATTTTCCTGAAATAGTATTATCTTCATCATGACAAAGTGGCTGCTGTGAAAAAGGTGTATTCTAAAACAAAAGAAAAGTTACTACTGCATTTTTCAAACCCTTATTCAAGTATCACATTGATTTTACTTTAAGTTAAGTTTTTCTTATACTCCTTACAATCAAAAAGGCCCCCCGTGAAGCTTTGGTGACCCCTTGTGGGGTTCCCGACCCCCAGGTTGGGAACCACTGGTCTTTAAAATGTGGGTGTCTTTTCAATATAGACAAGCCTAGCACATAGCATAAGTACAGGAAAGGAGTTCAGACCGAGGCTTGCTCAACTGTTATTGGAGCACAGAGCAAAAAGGAACCCACCTGTTTGAGCATTAAAGTGCTAGTTACACATGTGCATCAGTAAACCAATCTTATAATATATGTTTCATAACTTTTATTTTAATATTTGAAGTAAATTAAAATGCTTCTGTACCTCTACTTAAGCGTGAATGTAGTAGGACTTAATGTGGTATTTTTACATTTTTACCCAACTCTATACTTGCACTGATTTTAAGTGGGGTGGACAGAATAGCAGAAACACCCCTCTGTATGATGCGATACAACCTGCCTAACAGCTAATTAACTGGTACCTGAGGCTACATTCATACTGCAAGTCTTAGCACTCAATTCTGATTAGTTGCTCAGATCAGATTTTTTGTTTGGCTGCTACATTATTTTTAAAATGTGGCCCATATCAGAATCCAGTGTGAACCGGTCACGGTCCTTAAGTGACCTGCATGACAAAGTCTAGACTGACATAAAAGTCACATGAATTCTGATAAGAGTGTTCACACTGCGGTCACACTGCAAAGAATCAGACCTGTACCTGATTTGGACCACATGGGAAAGTGGTCCGAATCAGAATTGAAAAGATCGGATTCCATGTGATTTGTTCTGTTCACACTGTCGTGAAAAAAATATCTAATCTAAAAAAAATCACAACCCAAATCAGCTTAAAATCACAGGGAACCTGATCTGTTCAGTTTCCACTTTCATATGTCATATTACAACTCGTGATTTTTATGTCACTATAGACTGATATTCGTCATATGGGTCACTCGAGGACTGTGACCTGTCCACACTGGAATCTGATATGGGCAACATTTAAAAGGTAAATCAGAACTGAGAGCTAAGACTTGCAGTGTGTGTATTTTCCACTGGGTTTGAGGTCTCTAACAATTCAATCACTATGTTCATTCCAAAACATTGTCAGCAAACCACAAACTGCCTCATTTGTAATCAGTTGTGACTGATGGTGATTGGTGTTTTATCTTTAAACTGGCTTAACTCTTCCTATAGGCTCTCATCTGCACATTATAAATATGGACACAAACACCACACATGGCACGTGTCACAGAGCAGCATTAGAGATTATAAAACTTACTGGGATCTGTGTTGACCACTTCCATCACTGCTACGGCATTGCTTGGGTTGTAGTTGATCTCTTTCAGCCATGGCTGGAGGTCTATGTATGCATCACATACTTTATATGTGATGTAAATAAAGTATTCACAGGCCTCCTCCCCTTTGCACTGGACCAGGTCCAAGATTTTGCGCACCTAGAAAATAATCAGAGGGAAGGCAGTCTGTGTTATAACAACTTCACAAACTATCTATTTGGGAGATAATGACAATGTATTTAAATGGTTTTAAATGAATGAATATGAAACTGTTGGAAATGGAAATTTAAATCAATCTGAAATAAAAATTATAATAGCTACAGCATCCATTCTTTTTGCTGTGGAAAGCTAAGGCTTCCGTCTTTAACACCATCGCGTTGTGCACTCTGGGACATGCGCGGGTGGAGAAGAGCAAAGGAGATGGATAGCTAAAAAATGAAAGTAGAAATGAGCATATCTCAAAAACTAAAAATGTAAATAGTTCAAATAACTTCTGAAGGAGTGTCCAGAAATCTTTTGTTCATGTTTCTACATTTAGATTTAGATGAATACTTTGAATCATTCTGTTTTCTTGTTTATCTTTTATAAAATCTAAAGAATCTTTGCAGTTTTCATATTTATGACTCAATTTCAATACTTCCATTTTTATGGTTCATTGACTTATACAACATTTAAGCTTAGGTTGTACAGATTTTAGGGATTTGATTAATATCAAGATACTCAAAGAAATGACATCACAGTAAGTAAAAAATACCAGTGTAGGTACTGGTGGAGTTCAAAGGGTTAAAGATGCCCTCCAGACATGTACTATACATTATACAGAAATACAAATAGTCTGCTGCTCTCACAGATCCTGCTGGGCCCTTAAAATCAGATGTTCAATGAGCACAGAGAAACTTT